TTTATTAGAATAACTTACTATCAATAAAACCAGACGTTTGGGTATTTTTAGAAGACGGTGCACACAAAATTTGTAATCGAAAAAAAGCCTATTTTGAGTAAAATTCGACTAGGGAGGTTTCTGAATCATGTCGATAAATTTTGAAGATTGAATTTGGTAATTTGCAACATGTTTAATGGATCATAAATAATCAAAGTCTTTGCCTACGAAGAACGGTAAACCTATGGGGTCCTAAACTCCTATTTCAGATATTTATTGAATAAAATATTTGTTTATAAATTGATATATTATCTTATAGCAGAACAAATGAAACGCAAATAGAATTGTGAGGAGATCAAATCAAATCGAAATCCTCGGAATGGACTTTAACTGAACTCTGTGTTTAATATTCAGACTATTATAAATCTTGACTCTAGTCAATTCTCACTACAAATAACATGAAGAACAGAACTAAATGTTCTATAAATAATAATAATAGTGAAATTTTAAAGGGATTCTTCCTCCATGTTTTATTTCAGCTCCCGGGCCTGATTCTCTTATTTTACCTGTTGTTGTATCGGTTGTTGTAGTTGGTATTGTTGTTTTAGTTATTGTCGGTGTGGTTATGTTCAAAAGGTAAGAATTCTTTTTATAAATATATGGTTTCTACAAATAAATATAGTTTCATAACATCTGAGACCACTGCTCATTTCAGAAGTTAACATAGATTGCAAACTTTTATTTTGTGTGACATTTTTATTCCATTGGATTTAATGTTGTTTTCAAATATATAATACTATTTTATTAAAATTCGACATTAAGTTTTTCTCATTGACGGAAAGTAATTTATCTATTACATAAAATATCTATTGCAGAAAAAGAAATAAAAGTAATACACCAAGGCTAGAATCTGAAGATAATAAATATGAGAACTTCAGTTTGACGAAATCGATTATTAAAAACGATACATCAGGTAAAATCGAACTTGACGGATCACAAACACAGATTATTGCTGTTTTGGCATTTAAAACTGATAATATAATATGAAAATGTTTCACGGTACATTATGTGAGATTTGGATAAAGAACTGTCGGCTCTCGCTATAGCAATATAAAATAGTCAATTACTTCATTCTGGGCGAAGTTATAACTGTTTGAAGAAAAGCGTGGGATCGATTTTTATTGCTACAGTTGTTACGATAATAAACAGTCTTGATCATCCATTTTCAATTCGATTATTAAATCGCAATCGTGTTTCAATGCGTGCATATTCACAACCAATCGATGGTTTATAGAACTGATTATGAGCTTGGCAGGTGAATAAATGTCTAATGCATCTTTAAAATGGATTGCCGAACAACATGATGGCCACAAACGAGGGAATATTTAATTATTAATCTCTAATTTAATCCTGTAAATCAGGTTTTCCAATTATCTGAAAAAATTATTATTTTATTTAAAGAGTTTGTTTTAATTATGGCCTTTATTAAGTTGGGGGGAGAGGGATATTGTTTCTGTGAATACCATATTTATAATGAAAGTTATTTATATACGATTGATATTTACAGACGAAGATAATACTCGCGAATCGGTTTACGTAAATGAAGCTGTTTATGTTTCTCATATTATAGAACAAGTCATAGATAATGGAGAATCTGTTTATGTTAATGATGTCAGATCAGATGTCTTTGTTAATGATGCTAGTCTTTATCAGAACATCCAAATTACACGATCCAAAACTTGTATCGATCTGAAGGATTTGTGGGAAACCATTCAAAGAAAAAAACAAGAAAAATCTTTCAAACCAGAATATCAGGTAAATTGAATACACAAATTAGGCCATTTTGGGACTAACATATGGTTCGGTTTCATTCAATAATTAGCAATGGGAGGAAACCGGAGGACCCGGAGAAAACCTAAGAGGTTGGAGAGGTGACCCTACTCCTTGTCACATACAAGCAGGGAATCGAAACCACGCCACTTGACTCAATGACAGACCTTATGATTTCACCCGCACGCGTTAACCATAGTAAATGCGATCGTTCTTGTATATAGACAATCTCTATTAGTAGTAAGTGTAGTTGAATCACACTACATATAAACAACCAGAAACCCAGAAGACAAACCCAGTGACACGACACATGTTACAATGGACAGGACAAGCAAAAAACTACAATAGTATTGCCAAATCAGACAAACAATCGTTCCTATATTATAATTGTAACTTTCTAATCTATGCACATGATCTATTGTTGACCAGAGTAATTGTTATTTATGGTCTATTCTAGGATTAATCGATGGTGTTACAGATTGATCATTGATTTATATTTACTTATGGTTTCATTTATTTTATCTACGATAAAAGCTGGCAGATCTATTGTAGATTCCATAATGTTAAATAATGAAATATAGAATATAAAACAAAATGAAACTAAACCAGTTTGGTTAACCAACTTGTATTGAGCGGAACACAATTTTTATGGAAAAACAATCACTGGTTTGTAAACATATAGCATGATGTTTCTATAAGTGTTCTCTTACCGTTATCAATAACAATAAGAGAACACTTATAGAAACATGTTATAAGTTTACAAACCAGTGATTGTTTTCTAGATAAATTGTGTTGCGTTTTATTGTGCTCAATCGTTAGTTAAATGCAACTCAAGGACTAATTGAGCAGGCTGTATCCAATTAAACGTAACATCGGATGTACTGATGTCCAAAAGAAAGTATACACACTAAAAGTATGACTAAGTTTTGTTTAGATTAAAAACATTTGACAAAACATTACTGAGTTTGTCTCTTGCGTCCAAACTCAACATTTCTAAGCAAAATAAAAATGTGAAACAAATTGACATTCTACCCAAATACCGTATACCACGGAAAAACGACTTTGGTTGATGTAGCACAAAATGCACAGTGTATACTTTCTTTTGGACATTAGTACATATATAATGTTTTAAAAAATTTGTCGTTGCTAACCATTGTTTATCACCAATCATCCATGCACAAGCGCGTTCTTTTATCCATAGCGCCAAAATTATTGCGAAATATGGTCGACAATGCCAGATATGTTATAGATATGCATATTCTGTATAGTATCATATCTAAAATTTAAATGATTTCATAAAGAATTGACAAAATTATGGATAAGTGAAAAATTGACAAATCAGCATAATTATGCATTCAATATTGAGGCATATATATATTTCATAGTTTGTTAGTTTATATATTCTATAATATTTATCCAAACGTGGGAGCCACGGTGGCTAGGTGGTTAAGACGCTGACTTGCTAGCCTGGAGGTCGAGTGTTCGATCCCTGCATTGGCCTAGAAAGTTCATCTGGATTTTCCGACGTGGTTTCCCCTTGTCAGTGGTGCAGAACGGAGGGCCTGACAAGGACAACTGTCTAGTCCTTCGGATGATTCGAAAAACCGAGGTCCCGTGTATACATTGGAATGCACGTAAAAGATCCCTTGGCAGTTGGAATTCGATATAAGAGTAGGCGATAGTGCCGCTGCCCGGGCAAAAATTTCCCTCATAGCACACTGTATGGCATATGCCCGTCTTCATTAGCCCAGTATAGGAGCAGAACAGTAGGACGTTAAACCCCATTTCATTTCATTTATCCAAACGTAACTATTCTTACATATGATAAGTAGAATAATTATATAGATTTATCTTATATTGCTTCATGTCGGTAAATTTATTTCGTATCTTGATTCTTGTTTGTTATTTTATCAGGCTTATTGATGCACAAATATGGTTTGTTGAGACACACATGGGTTTTTACAACCTGCATATCGTCTTTAATTTTCATTCAATTGAACTACATAATTTATATATGATATATCTATCTGTCACGCGTTGTCCGTAGCTGTTATAAAAGTTGATCATGCGTAAGGTATAGTTCTTACTTGTCGGTATTACGCCGCTTTTTAAAAAAAAAAACATTAATCATTGGATATGATATGTAGAATATTATATACAATATATATTTCCTTAGCGGTGGCTTATTGCAATACCTTGGGCGCTTTTGAAAAAAGAACGCTCTTGTTGGCTCTTGTCCGTAATTAGTAGGACTTTTTTTTATTATTTACAAGAAACTACCAAAAGACTTGTGTTCACCAGTTGATGTTTGTATGAACGATGTAAATCGACCTAAAAATAGATACAGAAATATATGTGCATGTAAGTGTTAGATCTATTAACACGATTTGTAACATGGACGGGAAATCTTCCTTTGTTCTTTTCGTTGAATAAGCAGATTGTTTTCCCTCTAGTAAGATTGGGTGAAGCTAAACCGTGCAATAACTAGACATGTTCAATGTTATTGCACTCTTTTGCTGGTTTACACTAGTTTTAGTAGAAATCATATAGAGAAGTGGGGTGGGTTTTCTGTGCAATAATAACAAGCATGTTCAGCAGGTGTCAATGTTACAAGTCATTTATAACACTCTTCATTCGTTAACAGGTTTAAATCGACCTGCGGTCTCGAAGTTTAAACATGTTAACTCATGAAAGCCGTGCTATAAATATAACTTGAATTAAATTCAAGTACATTCTTCCTTGTTGAATTCACAAAAACACCTTTTTTTCCTAAATAGAAACATAATACAATGTAATCTGAAACACATTAATCTTTTCATGAATAAAATTTATATAAGGAAACTCGTGACTGCCTTTTTGTTAGCCATTCCTTTGTTGTCGACAATAGAATATTGATAAATACAAAATAATTGTGCAGTTAGTCGTGGTTATTTGTTCAATACTCCATTTAAATATTAAATATCTACTTGTATTTCAGTTGATCACACACGGGTGAAACTAGATATTGAAAATGATGACCCCACTTCAGATTATGTCAACGCCTGTTATATTACTGTAAGCTAAACACATCAATAAGTATATTACTCGGTCAGATACATATACATATTTTTATATTTTTAGATGTTAGAAATGTTTGCTACGTGTATAGCTTACATTATTAACTGTCTTATTGCTGTTTTAAGCCGACCGTGCACAGTCTGTGTAGAAAGGTAGGAAGTTAAACCCCATCTCAATTCATTTCTTTTAAGCTGGTATTAAGAAATGAAATGTAATAAGGTTTAACGTCCTACTTACCTGTACAGAATGGGCTAATGAAGAGGCCGATATTGAGAATAATAAATTCTTCCACACCTAGTATTATGACACATATTCTAGTATTACGGCTGGATTCTTTTCCTTCTTGTCACTTGATATGTTTGCTCCCGCTTTATAACCCATATAATAATAATAATAGTGTGTATTTATAATGCACACATTCCATTCGTGTATGCGCATGGCGCAATTGCCAGCTCTTCACATATACATATAATAAGGTATGCTCATTATTTTTTACGAATATGTCTTTCCTCTCGCTGTATAAACAATGATAATATTTGTTCATTATAATGTAGGGATATGACTGAATGAAATGGTTAATGGCGCGTCAACGTCAGCTCAAACCGTGATATATTGCGCCAAATATATAGTGATGTTACACGAGACAATGTAGGAATATGTTTCTACGCCCACCTTATAAACCATATAATATGTTCATTATTTGTAGGGATATATCTATGGTCTCGCTTTATAAACCTTATAATAATATTTGTTCATGAATTTTAAAGAAATGTCGTTAACCCCGTTTTATAAACTATATGATAATAATATGTGTTCATTATTTGTAGGGATATGGAAACATCAAGAATAAATACATCGCGGCACAGGGTATCATTTTTTTTTTTTTTTTCATTTTTATATATTGTAATTGAAACCTTCAAATGGGCGTTATACATACGAATCTGATTGTACAAAACGGAATTTGTGCAAGCCTAACAACGTTCGCATAGCACATAGAATAAATTATGCTAATTTTGTACGGTGAAACATTCAGGCGAACCCATTCGCCATCGAATTTCGCCTAGTGTGTCTGGAACTGTGACACTCACCCGATCTTCGATGTCCATAAAATTCGTAAAGAGTGTTCCATATTTCCGACGAAGTTACTCGGGCAACGCAGAGTACTCAAAAGGCGAAAATGTCGCATGAAATTAATTGTGTCTTTGGCATTAAGAATCAAATGTCTGGTGTATAGAAACAGTAATGCCTGGGATACACTACGCAAATTTTTAGGTCGAACCATTCGGGCCATATCTTCGCCAGTGAGTTTCGCCTAGTGTGTCTGAACCTTCGCCCGACTTTCGCCAATATCAATATGGTTCAGCTCGTGTGTTCACTCCGGCGAAGATGACGCGAACCCTAGAATTCATCAGCAAATCAAAACCGTTCCAGGTTTCTCATGACAAACCAAATGGCGACCTCCAATGACACAGCGTGGATAAAAGTACATCGAAGCAAGCGTGAACTTAGTTTAAGGCGACTTATCCGAGAGATGTAGATCCACTCAGATGTCTGGGTAACTTCGGCGGCGAAAACATTGACCAAACTACATCCGAATTAAATTCGCGTAATTAGTCCCAGGCTTTATTATTCAAAAGTAATAATTTTCGACAATATGTTGTGTTTTAATGTGCTCAATCGCTAAATGCCACCCAAGGATTAAATATATTTTGACGTCAATCTCTCCTGATAGAATGTGCTCCAAAATTGTTCATGTTCTATTATGTTAATCGCCAACCCCTTTGAAAGCAGTAATGTTTAATATTTAATATACATTGCAAATTATTGACTAATTTCAATAATATGGACCATCTGATGTCATATTTTGACATTAGCTTTAATAAATATATTTAAATATATAATATATAGGACCTAATGATGTGAACATCAATGAGTTTGTTAGGATGCTTTGGGATGTTAAAACAGGAAAGATTGCTATGGTTACTAATCTACACGAAGCCGGTGGTGTAAGTTTAATATGGATGTTTTAAAATACAACATATTTTATCTTTTGATTATTAGAAATATATTATTTTAATTATTTTATAATAAATTGATTGTTAGAAATAGATTATTTTAATTGTTTTATAATAAATAGATTGTTAGAAATAGATTATTTTAATTATTTTATAATAAATTATTTGGCTATAATGTTACAAGTTAATTTGATCGGTTATAGAATAGTTTGAATGATGTATTGTAAACTGGTTCAGCCCAATTTTTGAAGAGAGCCGAAAGCAAAATTTTAATTTATTTATTTACTTTCTTTCGAATCACAGATGAAATGTTTAAAATACTGGCCCACGATCGGCAAGGTAAAGACTTTCAGAAAGATAAAAATTGAACTGATTGAAGAGGATGTATTGGCCCATTTTACTATTAGGACATTGAAAATAACGAAAGTAAGTAGCCTAAGCTAATCCCGTGGTTTTCTCTTTAGTATCGTTTCGGAAAATTCTTCTTCTTCTTTTTCGTCTTCTTCTTCTTCAATTTGTGATGTATTCGAGCCATCGATGACGGAATTGGTATTTTGATAAAATACTAGCAAGGAGCCAAAGGGGTCTTTGTATTCTGAGACAGGGATTCATACACCTAACTTCTATGAAAAGATTTAGCAAATACAACTATTGAATAGGCTGTAATTTCATGTTAAAAATATTTTATTTGAAAAAAAAAACTGTAGGATGGATGTGGATCTCGGACAATAAAACATTGTCATTATACATCATGGCCTGATAAAGGTGTCCCTACTGATATGGCGTCATTGGTAGAATTCAGAAACAAGATACTTAAAGTCAAATCACCACAACCAGGACCAATGGTGGTACACTGTAGGTTAGTTCGCTTTTAAATATTTAATATAAACCTGTTGTTATCAATAGAAGCCGATCTTATGGGGTCACTGTTATCTGTATGAGTATTTATTATCAGAGACTGATATCGTGGAGATGGGGTGTAGTGATGAAAACGAAACAGGGGATTAACCCTATAGTACATTGGTTTCGTTAATTCTGTGTTGTATAACAAAAGCGTGTTTGGAAATGCCATGATAATGTTTAATGCTCTGTCTTAATGTAAAGAAAACCGACCGTGAAATGAAATGAAACGGGGTTTAACGTCCTTAAGTTCTGCTCCAATTGGACTAATGAAGACGAAAAACCGATTCTCCTTGCCTTGCAGTTATTTTATCTTATCTCTATTTCGATTTATCCTTATGGTTCTAATGTCGGCTGTGTTATCGGAGATATATTGGCGTGATCATTGGTTGTTTACAGTACTCAGCATTGATAAAACCTGTCATATCTTATCTAAATTTGTTTTTAATCATATTAATTTGAGATACTATTAATATTAGATTAACCAATATATCTAAATCTGTTTCATGTTTTTCAGTGCTGGTATTGGACGAACAGGAACATTCTTAGCTTTAGATTATCTGATAGAAGAAGGTAAAGCTGAAGGTTCTGTTGATGTGTTTAAATGTATTTCACAGATGAGAAGAGAAAGAGTGAATATGGTTCAAACTGATGTAAGCTGAAAATCATTTTAAATTTTTCTTGATTTTTCATAGTAACCCACTATTTATACCATGTATTGTATTGCTGTGGGCTAAAATTAACTCAGTATTAATATGATGTTTGCAATAAGATTAAAATTAAGTCGGTATTAATAACACGTATGCTGCTTTCTATATAAAATCAACTCAGTATCACAACCATGTATAGGAATAAAATGAACTAGGTATTAATACCATGCAAGGTGTTCTTTTGGATTCAATTTTTAACTCAGTATTAGGTCTTTGTGGGAAAACACGCATCATGAAAGTCTAGTTTCTGGTTTAATGAAGCAAATTATCTGGTTCAGTATGTATTATTCTACAAGTTTATTTTTCTTGATAAATATTTGTAGGATCAGTATGTATTTCTACATGAAGCTATATTAGAATGGTATATAGCTGGTGATACTACAACTACTGTTACAGATTATCAAGGTGTTTATCAAGATCTTCTTAAAGTTAAACAAAGTTCTGGTAAATGTGAACTAGAAGAAAGGTTTGAAGTAAGTTCAGTATCATTATCCAATATTCAAGTATAAATAATATCCGTTTCAGTAACAAAGACAGAAAGAAAAAAATCTTGCTGTTCATGAGGATGATTACGGAGTTAGTGACAATACACAATAACAAGTAATTCAAATCCCTAATCTAATTTCATTATAAATTCTGACTTTGAAAAGAATACTTACTATTTTATTTCGAGTAGAAATAATATATCCCGGTTTGGATCAATGGGATTTATTTAATGACCTCGACAATTGGAACAAAACACAAATCCATCCACACAGTCAGTGTTTTTGCCAGCTATCTGGACAAATATTTCCAAGTTTCCACCCAGTTTAGGAAACGTTGAACACCATCCAGTTATGGTTCACGTCGCAAACTTAAGTTAAAGAAGTTTATATTTTACAAATTTGTGGCCATTAATATTGTTTACTATGTCTTATTGTAGATGATGGGCCAGGTTTGTCCAAAATATACAGACGCTGATTATTGTACAGCTTTACTGAAAGAAAATAAAATTAAAAATAGAGTGCCAACAATATTAGCGTGTACGTAATATTATTTCTTTTGAAATTTGAAATTTACTTTGACATGATGTCACCCTCATGTGGCTTTTAAAGCGTTTAATATGTATTACCGCGGGAGTAATCTCCCTTTATTTAGACGATTCATACATGTATATATAATGGAATAGGGCTTAATGTTATATATGTCTGCATCGACTGGGCTAATTAAGAGTAGCATACTCCATGCTACTACTAACTCATATTTCGATTTTTGACAGGAATCTTTATCGTGCTACTAGTGGTATAAACGGAACCCCGTTTTAATAGACCGATTTTCCTTGTCAGACCCTCCGTCCTTCGCCACTGATATGAGGAAATCAGACTGGAAATCCCGGGGAACTTCCTTGACTAACACCGAGATCGAACTCGGAACCTTCTGCTTTGCTTAATGGGTCAGAGCTATACCCACAGGGCCACGTTATTGTATAGACGTGTCACTCACTGCACAATAGATACGCCCAAACAAAACAGACCACAAAAAAGCATAATTGATAATATTCGGGTTTTAATTTTCATTCGTACTGCAGTATAATCCTTGCCAACCCATCACTTTTGCTGGCTTGACAGCTCCAGACAATAAAAAAATAGCCTTATTCTAAGTACTAGATGTGTTAGTGTCCTAGCTGTTGTGTAAATTATCAATTAAATCCTATTTTACTTGTCCAGAGGGTTCAGAAATATTTTTAAATCCAAGTAACATCTGAAAAGATTTACGTCAGGCTTTTCAAATCATTTAGTTGAATTTTTCCAATTTTTTTAAATTAGGTGTATTAAGATGAAATTTGTATCATCAATTAATTGGAATATTGTAAAATAGTACAATTTGTTGACCAGAATAAAGATTGGGACATATTATTCAGTTACAACAAGAGTGGTATTGAGCCTTTAAGGCAACGTTTACATTGTATGCAGAAACAGTCATAACTCCTAAAATAAATCTATGCCCACATCCCTTACGACATTAAATCAGCTTTCACATTATATGCCCCAACACCTGCATTGAAACGATCTAAGGTTAGTATAGTATTGTAGTTGATAACATCATTGAAATAAATAAAAATGATTAATTGATATATTTTTAGATGAAAATACTAGAATACTTTTGACGATACCCGTTCCTAATACATCAGATTATATCAATGCTGTTTATATACCAGTAAGTAATGATTTGTTTTCGCATCACATGGATTTTGTATACTGTTCTATATACTCAAACTTGGTGCGTACGTGTTTTTTGTGTACTGTTCTATACTCTAAAATGGCATGTTCATGTATTTAAGGATAGTGTTCAAATTATATTTGGAATGTGTTTAATAAGTTCTAGCACATATTGTAATATTTGTGAACACCAATATTGTCCCTTAATTGACACATACAATAAAAAATATTGACACGTGTACCCACGGACACAAATGCACTGTGTGTTGCGTCACGTTTTAGATATCAAAATGAGTATGCTTAATCGTTCTGATACATTATGAAACCGAGCGATTTTAGAATGTATGAATACGGGAAAAGCTTTTATACTGGGTTCCAGCCTTGCGAATGATGCCAGGTCGCCCATTTAGGCTACACATTAGTAAAGACCCGGAGCTCTAGATAAAGACTTATCAATACGTACTCTAGAAAACAGTAGGCAAAGAATTGAAGAGGTGTTGTGGAATCTACTTCAGTCCATGGCGATAGGCATAATCCTCGGTGACCTATCTGGAGCAATAGCATGTACAGGATATAGGTTTTGATGACATATGATACCACCTCTCATGTATTTCAGATGAGTACTTAATTAGATGATATTTCTTGTGTAATTTTGAATTATAATTTGTAGAGTTACAGAAAGAAACGAGCTTATATATTAACACAGACACCATTACCTAATACTGTTATAGATTTCTGGAGAATGGTTGTTCAAAAGGAATCTCAAACAATCGTTCACATGGATCATGGACAAGATAAAACTAAGGTAAAATGGATATGGTTTATAACTATCCTGACAAGTTATAGAATTTATTAGTATTCTGTAATCTTAAAAGTATAGGCAATGGGGAAGTCGTTAAGGTGGTAGCTACTTTTTTTTAACAACATTCGTTAATCCCAACAGTCATACGCACCAGGCTATCAAATTATTTCATCATTTACCCAAGGACTGTTTCACGGACCGAAAACCATTAACAATTATTGATCATTCAAAATGGGTGCTGTAATTTTGTATCCACACCGCCCATAGATTTTATAGATTGTAATTTGGGAATATGTAGGAATATATTAATTAATTTTAAAACGTGATCACGGTATGTTCTGAGCTTCACTAGCTGGGCTAGAAAATGTCGGCTACGTGATGTTAACTACTTTATGACTATGTATATATAATATTTGTTTAGGGTATTGGTCAGTATCTACCAAGAGATAAACCACTAACCTGTGACCCCTTTACTATAACTAAAACAGAAGAAATACAACATGAGTTTTATACAATTATAACATGTCAGGTTACAAGTACGTCACAAGATGTAAGTTGAGTATTAGATATTTAGGATTAAGTTTGTTCTAGCTTTGTAGATACAATCACTGCACAGCCAAGCCTAGCACACACGAACGGTTTTGTATTTTCATTTAGTAGACAAATCGCTCGTGTGTGCACCATTGCAACGAATATCGACTGTGTGTCATCAGCGAGAGTTTCCAAATATCAAACACCTTTCGTTTTCGGTAACAACGAATTGCTCATCGATCTAATGTAGCGTACAGCAGGCAAGCTCTCGTGGAACAATTTTTGTGCCAGACACATTTTGACAAGTCACATAATAGTCACTATTCACTCAACTGCTATGACAATACGTCATTTCAAAGTTCAAACCAAGAAGTTAGGCACAATAACATTGAGTAATCATTATAATTTAGTGGTGTGAATAAAATTTATCGCTGCATGTGATCAAATCATTTTTATAATAAATATAGTTCATTTGGGAAACGAGACAAGTGTGTATCTTTTAGAGACATTTTCAGAAGATTACACCACCAACATTCTTACAAAGTTCGGTAAATATTCTGGCAAAACTTGGGGCAGTTTTGTACGTTTACGTTGTATGAAATGATGTCACCTGTATGAGATGTTTTTTTTATATTAACACAGAATGAGATAGATCATACGGTTAGAATCTACCAGTGTACATTCTGGAAAGGTGAGGAAACCACACCTAAATCATCTACTCCATTTTTCACCCTGTTGGAACACATTCAGTCATGGACATATGATCAAAAAGAAAACCCAATTATTGTACACTGTCGGTAAGTTAAAATATACATGTGTTGTATAGTAAATTGTTTCTAATAAGGTTATGAAATGAAATGGGGTTTACCGTCTTATTGTCTGCACCAACTTGGCTAATGAAGACGGGCATACGTACACCATAACGTCTATTCTGCTCGGAAAGCGACGTTTCTACCTACTCTTTATGGAATTCCAACCGTCAGGGGCTCTTTTACAAGTACGCATATGAGTACACATGTGGGCCTTGTTTTGTCGCCCATCCGAACAATTAGAGGCTTTTCGGTCTGCACCACTGCCATAAGGGAAAGCAGGCAGAAAATCCCGAGAATTCCTGTTTATACCGTAGCCCCCATATAGGGTTATAACAACACAGGGTATTATTTTATGGATACACAATTAATGAGTTTAACCAAATTCTACCCTGTGACAAAATTAGTACACAGGGTACAATTTTATAGATACACAATTACTGAGTTTAATCAAATTGTATCCTGTGACAAAATGCCTATCAAAGAAGAAGGTTATAACACTGTATCAGATAGTTGAATTATTTAGGAAGCAAACATGTAACTGTTTTTAGAAGGGTCACTTTGATTAGTTGATTTAAATCAGTTCATGGCAAAGTTTGATACGAAAATATAATTAACATTCACTTTTAACTTGTTGTACATTTATCAGTAAATCATATTGTTGTGATATGAGATACCAGAAAGTTAAAAGGGGAATAACTCACAATTCGATCAGTATTTTGTGACCCTAACCCCATTCCCTTCTGTCATCACCCTTACATACACACCTTTCTCCCATGTTAGCCACACTGTTTGAAATTAAGAAACCTTCTAAAAACCAGGAACCCACTTTACAAATGAATTTATTATAGTTCCCAGTCATTTTGATTTCGTGGATTTACATAATTTTCATCAAAGTCCTCGGATTACTTTATCTAAAGGAAATAGTAAATCGCAATTTGTATGGGCATTGAAGAACTGTAAGTATGAAAATAAACTAATTTGTTTTTAGAAATGGAGTGAACAAGGGAGGACTATTCTGTGTTCTGGCAGCCATTTTAGAACGACTAACTTTAGAACAAGACGTCAGTGTGTTACAGACTATAATACAGCTTCGAGTATCCAGACCACAGATTATTACTTGTTACGTGAGTATGCACATGCTTTTCAAATTACATCAATTATTGCAAATCATTGTTTTTCTCCTATTTCTGATAAAATTAATCAATGTGGTTCTGTGTAGCATTTGTTAAAATTCATGGCATGGACATTGCACCAGCAGCCCTGTCACCTTCCAGAACATTTCAGAACATTTTTAATCGTGTCGACAATGTATGCAGCGTAATCGGGAGCCTGACAAGCCCCGTTTGTGTTTTCTTACCCCCCCCCCCCACCCCGTACACTCCCTAATTATCAAAATTCACAGTAGTACCTTAGGTTTTGATTTTAGTCCCTAATAAATTAATATTATTTATTTTCAGGACCAAGTGAAATTTTGTTTCGATTCTGTTGGTAATTATCTGGATAATTTCTCAATGTATGCCAATTCTTGTTGATTATAACTAAATTATAATATGTATCGTATAATCAGCCAATTCTTATTTATTACTTTAGTGGGATGGTGCCATTGTTATATATTTGTTTGGGATTTTTTTTTCTTTTCTGCTTTTATGTAGATGTTATGCTTTGTACAAGTTTTGTTTTATTATTTAAAGTTTATACTAATCAATGTCCACATAATGTATACATAGCTATCTTGTAATTACAAGATAGCTATATTGTAATTATAGGGTAATCAGACTTTTGTTGGGGTTTTTTTTTTTCATTTTTTTATTGACCCTAATAGTCTTCCGTACTTAGGTATGTGCTGAAATGATTATATTTTTTTATGCATATTATGTTTTATAAATATTTTCAATATATTATATTTTGATAAGACTATTATATTTGGTTAAAAATATTATATTTGGTTAAAATATCATATTTGGCTGAAACTATTATATTTTGCTAAACCATTATATTTAGTTAAAACTATTATATTTTGCTAAAACTATTGTATTTTGCTAAAACTATTGTATTTTGCTAAAAATTTTATATTTTGTTAAAAACTGTTATATTTTGCTGAAACTAATATGTGTTAATATCATTTAAAGTAGTTATGTCTCTAACTCAATATCATCCAAAATCTTCGACATTGAAAACACGAATTATTTGTCAATTTACATCAACATTGATGTTGTGATCTTACGGGGAAAAGATGGCCTTCTGATATCCAATAATTAAGACAAAATAAACATTTTACCGTTGGTACACGAATCGTGTACCATGATGCATTTCAGTGTCATTTTTAACAAGGGACTCGTAGAAAGAGGCTAGATATATTCCACAAGTCATGTCGAACGGTGACGTCATATTCTTATCTGGAGAGCACGCGCAATAAATACTATCGGTATAGAGTGGAATAACCAGACGTTAGAGATTGCCATTGGATTGAGACTTCTGGCATATTTCGCGGAACATAACTGATTAGAAATTGCAGTAAAACAGAAACGATTGAATGTAAATTAGTTTATATACATTTACATTATATTATTATATGTGTTGCGACCCATTTGTGTCAATTTCTAGATCCAAAATATTAGCGAGTTAGCTCCTTAAAATCCACATTATTTAAACTATATTTTGTTTTGTTATATCCTTTATATTTTGTTAAATCTATTATATTTTGCTAAAGCATGTTTTATAAGAATAAACATAGACATGTTAAAATACCAAAATAAAAACGAAGTCACTATGTACCGTTCAGTATGAATACTGGGTCTGAAGCAAAGTTAATTTTTTTTTTGTTTCCATTTGATTTCTTTGTGAGTAGATAAAAACAAAGTTTGTACAACACCAGAAAATTGTGAGTTTATAGTAAATATTATCGGGGTTTATTTTTCTTCATTTTTTTTTATTTCATATTGTATTTTATGCCATTTGTAAATTATTTTATTAGCTTATTTTAAGTTATGATTCGGTGCTTCTTTTATTTATTTGAATTAAATATTTTTACTTTGTTTATGTCACATGTTTTTTTGTTAAATAATAGTTTTTAAGTTATAAGTAGTATATATTTCCAGGAATTACTGTCTCTTTCATTGTGGAAGGCATGCATGTAGGGACGGGTTACACAGTAAACCAACCAAAATTAAACCCAAATTATTTTATAACTGTTAGTTGAGCTAACTTTTTCTCTATCATGAGGTTCTTACCTACATACCTGCACCCTTCAGCATAAGGTCATCAAAGATAATCATATTTTTAAAACATTGGTCCAAGGATTATAATGAATGTTGTGTTCACTTGTAATTAACATTCTAAAGTAAATTTTGTCCAGTTGAAGTTTACATTAGTGTTATTGCGTATACCCCCAATTCTAACGTAAGTTATATTCATATTAAGTTCACATTAGTGTTTATCCCGTATGCTCCAGTAATATTTGATTTAATTTGTATCCACTAACATCTACGGACGGATATTATTTAACCTGTCTATAATACTGTACCCAGGATTATTTGGTGATTAGTTAATTTAAACTATTATTTTCTTTTACATATTTTATCTAGATGTAAAGATTTTAAATTTAAAATAAATCTTAAGTTATTATTATTTTTCGAAGAAAATAAAATGCTGTAAATTATATATACCTGTGTTATTGGTATTGTGTATGTACACACGGCGGGAACGGTTGATTTTTACCAGTATTCGGTAAGAATGTAGTTCATTCCGATACTAATCTCTCTCTCTTGTTGAATTGCGAGTTTTTGGTAAATATTCGTGTCTTCGAGGCAAAAAACAGGGTTAGGAAGCTGGTTACGGTAATACGTACGGCGTAGTATAAATGAAATGAAATGAAATGGGGTTTAACGTCCTACTGTTCTGCTTCTAAACTGTGCTAATGAAGACGGGCATATACAGTGTGTTATGAGGGAAATTTTGCCCGGGCAGCGGCGCTACGGCCTACTCTTATATCGAATTCCAACTTCCAAGGGATCTTTTACGTGCACGCCAATGGGACCTCGGTTTTTCGTCCCATCCGAACGACTAGACAGCTGTCCTTGTCAGGCCCTCCGTCCTGCATCTCTGACAAGGGAAAACCACGCCGGAAAATCTGGATGAACTTTCTCGGCCAATGCAGGGATCGAACACCCGACCTCCAGGCTAGCGAGCCAGCGTCTTACCCACTTAGCCACGTGATTCCCCCTTACGGCGTAGATAGCTACATGTTCATAGTGTGGATTTCAAGTCTCAAAACTTTAGTGGCTATCCTCATACAACCTTTGGAGCAAAGGCATGGAAATTTGTTGCTCCGTCTGTGATGAAAAGCGCTCAGCCCAACGAAAATTTGTGAAATATTTTTTTATTTGTTTGTTTTGTAGCATTTACCTCCCTTTAAACTAAAAACCATTCATAACCAAACAACTCGACGTTAATTTGAACCCCACGGAAAATCATACTCAAACATAGGCGTACGAGCCAGAGGGCGGTGGGTTGGGGGGGGGGGGGTCTTTTTACTTTTCGGTCAGACGGGTAAAATGAAAACAAAAATTATTATTTCATCTAGTAGTTGGCAAAATAAAGTGCCCGAAATCGAATGAAACACTAATATTACTTTTCTTTTGATTGAATACTGTAACCTAGTAGATTACTTTCATAAAATCAGGTACAACTATATAATCTGGATATGAATTTAATTAGCCAGCAACATTAAAATCAATTTACAACTAAAAAGGAATGAACAAGACAATGTGCATCCTTTATGATAAAATATTATATTTCCTCTATATGAAACTTGGATTTAATTTATATGACTTTGTTATTAAGACACTAATCTCCAATAGTTTTAAGTTAAACAAAATGTCGCCACTAGTGACTTATCTATATATATATTTGTGACTGTCGTTTGTCTGTCTGTCTGTCTGTTCGGGGTTGGCGGCTACACTAGGTCTGCCCCGAGTCTGAAATTTGGGGTATAGGGGTAGCTCGGACCGGGGAGTAACATAGGCCAGGTGGCGTTAGTCTACCACTTCCGGTTTCGGAGTTATGACCCCTCGAGCGAAGCCGGTCTGTTCGGGGTTGGCGGCTACACTAGGTCTGCCCTGTGTCTGAAATTTGGGGTATAGGAGTAGCTCGAACCGAAGAGTAACATAGGCTAGGTGGCGTTAGTCTACCACTTCCGGTTTCGGAGTTATGACCCCTGAGCGAAGCCGGTCTGTTCGCGGTTGGCGGCTACACAAGGTCTGCCCCGAGTCCGAAATTTGGGGTATAGGGGTAGCACGGACCGGGGAGTAACATAGGCTAGGTGGCGTTAGTCTACCACTTCCTGTTTCGGAGTTATGACCCCCGAGCGAAGTCTGTCTGTTCGGGTTTGGCGGCTACACTAGGTCTGTCCCGAGTCTGAAATTTGGGGTATAGGGGTAGCTCGGACCGGGGGGTAACATAGGCCAGGTGGCGTTAGTCTACCACTTCCGGTTTCGGAGTTATGACCCCCGAGCGAAGCCGGTCTGTTCGGGGTTGGCGGCTACACTAGGTCTGCCCCGAATCTGAAATTTTGGGTATAGGGGTAGCTCGGACCGGGAAGTAACATTGGCCAGGTGGCGTTAGTCTACCACTTCCAGTTTCGGAGTTATGATCCCCGAGCGAAGCCGGGTATCCTGCTAGTAATAAATAAAAATATGTTAGTTATAAGACAATACGTAAAGGGGTAGAAGGAGCTTAATTAAATACTAAATCCTTAAAACAACTATGCAATAAAACTTCTGTTTGTAAAAGATTAAACCAATGAATACATTTCATTATATTGAAACAAGCGTAGGAGATTAGTGTCTGATTATAGGTATTACTGGTCTCAATTTACAATGTATAAATTCTGTTATAATAAAATGACAAGAAATATTTATTTATGACTAGAAGAATGCCCGGCTTCGCTCGGGGGTCATAACCCCGAAACTGGAAGTGGTAGACTAACGCTACCTGGCCTATGTTACTCCCCGGTCCGAGCTACCCCTATACCCCAAATTTCAGACTCGGGGTAGACCTAGTGTAGCCGCCAACCTCGAACAGACAGACAAACAGACTGACAAACGACAGTCACAAATATTAGTATAGATTATGCAGAATACAGGAAAAATATGTCGTCCAAGCATAATGTTCAAATGCTTGTTTATAATACCACGAATCTGTACTGAATTGACAACGGATTAAATCATTTTGTCTGGAGCCACTCTATTTTGTGCGATATTTTTCGGGCATCAATTATTATTTGTGAATGCAGCTGCAACAGTCCCATTGGATAGTTTGAATTCAGGTCGGCATAGATTGGAATTTCGGTTACAAAACGATTGAAAAACTTTGAAGATTGATCAGTTGATTGGACTATATCAGACCACTTGCTGCATTCAGGGACTGGAATTTTCCAAATTTCCTTTGGAAGGGGGTGGGTGGGGGTGGGGGTGGGGGGTTCTAGACGTCTGTAACCCGAGAGATAAATAACACTGAACAAATTTCCATCACTATAATGATAAAGATCGCAATATGAAGCAAACTACAACCAAACTATCAGCAGTCATCTCCCTTGGAACTGAATGTTGAATGAATGCAAAATCTAAATATGGTTCAATATTGTTATCAGAATTGTTTATTGTTATAAAGATTAAGATGATCGAAATGTTCTAAAACATATTATAGGCCAGTTAGAGATGTCATGGATTTAACATTGAAGTCAATGTTGAGACAATTACTGATCAGAATTCAGATAGAGATATCAGAATATTTTGGACACAGACGATACAAAGAGAGATAGATCGGTCTGCACACTGAGATCTATGTTCCCACTGACCCAATCTGATTTAAATGCAGATCTATATTTCGTTTCGTTTTTTTATACTTTCGATGGCCTACACTACATGAAGACCTGACCGGTTGTAGCGATAGGTCTCGTCAGAGGTCAAACGAACGGCTTTTGACACTATTTGACCCTACGTATGACATTGAATTAACCAATCAACATTTAATGTTACTAGTGGATTACCCACAGTTCCGTGCAAAACACGCCTAAAGCTCGCCGTAACAGACCATTTCATTGGCTAAGCCCTCACACCATTCATAACACGTCAATGATAACAACTCGTCCAGATCCTAGTGTAGCAAAGACAAGTAAAACGAACTTTTGAACTATAAAAACGAAACGAAATAGGATCTGTGTTTTAATCAGATTGCTACTGACCTCGATGTTGATTAATTGGTGTAGTATTTTTTTATGCGATTATACTCCGTTTGATACACACGGAGGCTAAATAAGCATTTTTAGATTATAACAATGGAATTCTATTTTTTTGACAGATAGTTTTAAGATGGAGCTTACAACGTTAATTGTTTTAACTGTTCGCAAATCGACTTCGTGGTTAATTGTATGATTGAGTGTCTATCTTATATGTCTTCGATATATTATCAGATGATGTGAAAACACAACTGCTAACTCTAAATGCCACACGGTTATAGAACGGCCCAGTTGAAAACTAAATACTAATATTCTTCTCGCCACCAGATCTTTTAATCGTGGTTGAGAGTTGGGTCGGTATCCCAGTGTTCGCTATGGAATATTATGAATCTCTGAGACAGTGGCGGGCTGGATCTGAAAATATTGGTTGCCAGGAGACAAAGGGGGGCCACCCACTAATACAATTCTGTCATTTAATTTTTAATGTAAGTGGAAACAAAACGATGTAATTAGAATTTTCATGCTAATAATTTTTATCTAATATTTATATATATTTTTGATAATTTATATTCTAAATATATTGTCTAATGTCTAAGGGGCCCACTTGCCATTGGGCAAGCTGACAACCTTAATAGTCCGCCACTGCATTTACTTATCCTATCATTCTGCTGTGATGGAAGCAAACCTTCTGGTTACCGGGTTTAGTGTTGGTTTAGCATAAGGAGGAAGCACATTAAAGTCTAAATGTGCTAAACAGACTAACTGAAGTTATAATCCGTTCGAAATTTAAATAAACAACGGCATCGCAGAATAGGGCACTGTGTAAAAGATTTACCCTGCTTGACTCCCAAAAAGTATCATAATATCTGGGTCGAATCAACCGTAACTTTCGGGTTGGAATTTGGGTTTTGTCTGATAATTTCACAAGAAATGTATTAAATCAACACAAATATAAACAATAAAGTATATATTTTAATTGCACGCGGTATTTTACATGTTCAAGTTTGTTTGTTGTTTTTTTAAAAATGTACATAAATATGTTTAAACATGAGATGTGAAAACAGCCTTTAGTAAATTGGCCATATTTTAAATCGTGCGTAAATGATAGCTAGATCATGTTCGCAGGTTGTGTGTCTCTGACGTTCAGAATGATTTTAAATCACACGAGTAGATTAGATAAAAAAAAAAAATAGTAATTGAAGACCACAAGGAAAATTAATGACGCTATTTTGAGTAATATTTCGCCAAGTCACCGTCAATTTTGAATCTTCTTGAAATAACTGCAGAGGTTATGAGGACGAAATCGGTCAGGTTTTAGAATATGTCCGCTGCTCACCTTAGCCATATTGACAATGAACTCTCAACATGAGGTAGCCTACTTCAGATAAAGTATAGCCTTAAAATAGATTCGTGGGCAGTTCTTGTAGCACTCCAAGAAATCAAGATCGCATTTTCACAGTTTCTTAAACTAAGTATAATACAATGAATAAATAAATAATATATTGGCGTAAAAGTGTAATAAATTGGATAATATTTACAAAATGTTCAGTTTATATACAGATTAGATATTTACAGTATAAGTATAATGTTAAAATTTAGTAAGACTAAGGCCATACTAACCCTCGCAATCACTTCTTAATAGTGTTTGCGCTTTATTAGATTTAGTGTCGTTATTGTATTGTATACTTTCTTTGATTAGCTCAGACCATCACCAGATAACCGGCAAACGTTTTGGCTCATGAATACAAGGCAGCTCAATTCGCCGTTGCCCTTTGCAAGATGACTACCCGTTGTGGGTCGAGAAGAGGTCTGAAATGTTCAAAATCACCCTACCAGTGGCCACAATACACAGTCAGTCTAACGGAATAATTCGGCAAAATTAAACAACAGCAGTTGCACTAGAAACATGAGAAACAGGGTGAAATCAGTTTGATCGATACATGGCCATCACAGTTGTAAAATAATCAACTATATGCTGCTGTCTTAGACAAATTATAAATAAGATTGAAAGCAACAGAGAAATCGCAGCCAAATGAATGTTAATAAAATAAACATAGGCAATACAAATCCCTAAAACTTTAGAACCCCATTGCACAAAGACTATTCCCCATGCCAAACAATTGGACATTTATTATTCAAATATAAATATAACGTTACATGACGTGTTCCTGACAGTAAGGTTTAAACAAAATTTAAACCTGATGTATGATCTGATAATTAATGAAAAGAATTAAATAATTTATTTACAATATTGGAATGCCAGAGTATTATATAATAACCGTTGAATGTATATGTATAATTTATTCTATTTACAACTATATATATATATCTTTACACTGTTTATTGCACAATTTATTTTCAGTTTTATATCAGTTTCTTTTGAAGCGACTAACTTTTAAACATATCACATAACAACTTTTCCATAGGCATGTTTCCAATTGTTCTACCAAAGAAGAGTCGCTCAATTCGGTCAAATGGAATATATCGTAAAGCAGGAAGTGTGAGTAATAATCTACCAAATCTGAAACGAGAAACATTATAATTTATAAATGTATACATTGTCGTATTGAAGTAAGTAAACGTGTCCTAAGGGTGATTTGTTCGAGGCAGTGTATTCTTTACGTAACACCCAATCTGATTAAAATACAGATCTATATTTCGTTTCGTTTATTTTATACTTTCGATGGCCTACACTACATGAAGATCTGACCAGTTGTACTGGGATATTGCGTCAGGGGTCAGACGAGCGGCTTTTGACCCTGTAGAGTCAGACATTGATTAATCAATCAGCGTTGACGTTTCTAGGAGTTCACCCACAGTTCCGAGCAGAGCACGCTAAGAACTTTCCTTAACAGACCGTTTCATTGGCTAATTCCTCAACTAGAACGCCTGTTATCTAACAACTCTTCCAGATTCTAGTGTAGTAAAGACAAGTAAAACGAAATTTTGAAATATAAAAAAACGAAACGAAATAGGGTCTGTGTTTTAATCAGATTGTGTAACACCTGGTAACATTTTCCGTTATTTTCGAAGTTCACGGTTTAAGTGTACAACTTTGTAGTAGAAGGCGGCCTCTTCAGTAACATTTTAAGAATATTTGATTTGTATTAAGTTGTATTTTGCTGGGTAGCACAAACCCTAAGTATGCTACTGCAAGGTGTACTTATTTATGTTAATATTAATAACATTTCTAGTTATTTTTATAAAGCGCAGTAATCACTCTCATGTTAATATTAATAACATTTCTAGTTATTTTTTTAAAGCGCAGTAATCACTCTCATTAAGAACATACATGTATATCACATTGAATGATATCATATTCCAGATAAACTTAGACTCGACATCCACTGACTGCGTAGTTTTTCATGAATGTTCGTTACGCCAGAAACGTCTAAAAGTTTGTACGTCCCAGATAGCTAGTTAACTAGTGTATGTCTGGCTTGGAAGATTGTCTTCTAAGTTTGCATATAATATAACCTGAACTGTATCAATCAAATAAAGGGTTCGCTTCGTTTTACTCAGTTCCTATCGGCTAGCTCTACAAACTGTCTGCGGCATATCTTTAAAGTAGAATACTGTCTGAAACTAGGTGCTGACGGTCAAAAACTAATTTTAGATGCTTACATGCTGTCCGCCTTAACATTTTCTTAACTTTAATTAAAATATGTACCTGAATGGTCTTGTGGGGTGCTGTGCCCGAATATGTTGACCAAGCATCACTTGTGCTTGATCCTGTAAATTTTCAACTTGCTGTGGGTCCTTTAAACCTCGTGTTTCTGTGAATTATAAATACATGGTATTACAGATCAAATGTGTAAGAAGGTTTGCTGGTAACCTTTCTAAGATCGTATCCGCCGTTATCATGACACCTTCACAACCTTGATATAGCACATTATATAGAAACACTAAACATTCTTAATGTGTTGTTGGCCAATGTTGTAAATCATATTAGCAAAATATCACATCTCCCTCCGACTTTGCGTTCTCCAATTCGAATAAAGATATTTGATATTTTAAGGTGTTAAATCGATAAAGCGATGTTTTATTAAATATGCAGAACTACAATTTATTTACCTGGCTTAAATAAAACAATGGCTTTAAGACAGGCAAATTCTGCTGGATCAACGCAGATAGCCTTGAATCTGTTCATCACTTCTTGTAAGATACGCATGTCACTGTATGGTGAGACCTTGCCTGTCTGTCCTGTGTGCGCATGTTCGGGAAGTATAAAAAGTGGACACGCTTCCATTGGCATCGACCATTGAATAGCACACAATAGAAATAATTCACTCCACGCTTCTTCCAATAATATTACCTGAAACAGTTAATTAAATTCCTATTAGAGAATATTGTTGAAAATGGTGTGACTTGGCATTGGTATATAGTTCATAAAACGGTTTTGCGTTCCACTGTTTTGCGACATTTGATTTGCCATGCTCGGTCATTTTTTTATACGACGTCCTCAAACATTATGAATATTTCAACGAATAATGATTCATCCATTATTACAATGTTTAAACATCCTTTCGTTACGCATGCGTTCTACAATCGCAGCAGTAACAAACATTAAGCGTTAATTAATAAATATTTCAAGCCCCCGAACAAACCTACATCGATACAAAGCAACAAATGCTAAAGAGCAAAATATTTCAAGTTAGGAAATATATTTTTCGAGTTCAAAGAAAATATATTTGTTTGTGAACAAATCAATCTCATTAAAACACAGATCCTATTTCGTTTCGCTTTTTATAGTTCCAAATTTCGATTTACTTGTCTTTAATACACTAGGATCTGGAAGATTTGTTATATAACCCGTGTTCTGCTTGATGCGAGGTATTAGCCAATGAAACGATCTGTTGCAGCGAGTTCTTGGCGTGCAGTGCACGGAACTGTGGGTATCCTACTAGAAACATCAACGCTGATTGGTTGATCAAATGTCTGACGTCATAGGGTCAAAAGTCGCTCTTATAACCCCTGACGTGACTCACACAGCAACTGGTCAAATCTTCATGTAGTAGAGGCCATCAAAAGTATAAAAAAACGAAACGAAATAAAGATCTGTATTTTAATCAGATTGTGAACAAATGAACTAACATGTTATAATTTTCATAAACAAATATATAATGAGCAAAATGTAAAGTTCATAAACAATATTTCAACATAATTACCTGATCTCTGAAAGGTAAATTGGAAAATGAAGGTAAATTTTTCGACCATTTGACAGCCATGAAAAGAAGACGTGCAGAACATTCATAGATAGTTTCTTGTCCAGCGGGGAACATAATAGGTTCGGGATAAACTGCTGTATGTGGTCGTGGTCTCTCTTGTTCAACACTAGTCACATCTATGTTCTCATCCAGTCCTGTAATAAACAATTATCATAAATATTAGACAAAGTCCCAAGTCACAAATTTGGGCAGGTAATGTAACATCTATTAGCTATGTGAATTTCTCAAATAGCTTTGTATCATATGTATTTTAATGCTATATTAAACAGCATCATCCGTTACAATCGCTGGCTAACATGATAATCTGTGTTAGATTAATTGGGTAGCAATACTATTTATTATATTTATATGTTACAACAACCGTTGTAATCAATTAGTAAATAAATGAATAAACTGGAGTGGAGCATACCGTGGATACCTGCGTGTGGAGTGATGGGGTTAGCTACCGTTTATCCTTTTGATATTTTACAACGAGTCGGGTTCCCAAACGGCGACATTGCTCTTTATTCATTTTTAAACATCAAATATCACTGGATTCGTTTCACTACTAACGTATTCGCAGAGTCCTGACTTTTTCTGACATTCGAACCATTCGACAAACGTTTTCAGTTTGCCTCGTATAAATCATTACGAAGGAATGTAGAAGTGCCCGAAGACCAAATCAAAGGTATAAAAATAAGTGTCTTACCCGTATCATCGGGCTCTAGCTTGGCGTTGGTTTCAGCTGTCATTAGGCTGGCCATAAATCTGTGGGTGGCACCAGGACTAAAGGCGGGATGGGTGGCTGATACGGTGGCACTGTTTACAGACATCGGGTGTTCTAGTTCTCGTTCTATCTGATCTTCTCTGACTTGGGCCGTGTTCCTCGGTTGTCTCTCATTCTGTACAGCTGAAGACACGATAACTACAAAAATTAGTTTATGACAATACAACGCCGGTATTACTTACTATGCTACCTCTGAAAAACTAAATAATGAAGATTAAGAATTCACTATCAGATATGTCACACCCTTGTAAATAAATAAACAAAATCAAGCAAAATCTATGACAATTAGCAGTATATAAATTTAAAACCTTTAGGGGACGAATTCGACAAATTCAGGGCAACAACTGGGTTTACAACATCACAACTGGAAAGTGATACCAGGTGTTCGCGAATGTAATGTAATTGTTTATGTCTTTTGGTTGTATCAGTTGGGGTACAGAATCTCTTAATAATCGACATCGCATCCAGTGAAATGCTCATAATGAAAAAACTGAAACATATTTGGGAGAAACCGAATGTTGGAAAAAGACTCTTGATAACCGTTGTTCGCTCTTGAATTTTATTGGAACAGTAGATGGGTATATAGTATTCGCATTGATTATAAAGCACGGCCATATTTCACTGTATATAATTATATAGTTGTTGTCTTAACTTGGTGATTTTTCATAGTTTGATCTTACGTTGCGTTTAAACTCGTGTTAATTCGGGGTCACGGCGGCTAAGTGGGTCAGACGCTGGCTTGCTAGCCAGGAGGTCGGGTATTCGATCGCTGAATTGACCAAGAAAGTTCATTCAGATTTTCCGGCGTGGTTCCCCCTTGTCAGTGATTCAGGACGAAAAACCGAGGTCCCGTATACAAATTGGCGTGCACGTAAAATATCCCTTGACAGTTGGAATTTAAAATAAGAGTAGGCCTTAGTGTGGCTGTCCGGGCAAAATTTCCCTCATAGCACACTGTATGGTGTATGCCCGTCTTCATTAGCCCAGTTGGACATTAAATCCCATTTCATTTCATGTTAATTCGATTTAAAATTCAAAAGCGATTGTTGAACTCTAACATTTGTTATATGCAGTTGTATCTACACGAGTAAAAACATAGACTTCAACAAAATTGACACCCTTTTAATCGAAAATAACTAATGTACTTATAAACCCAATACACGTTATTCAGACGTTATATAGTACATTGTCTGACTCTACAGGATTATCAATAATCCATATTTTAAGGGAAAAGCCAACTAACGTCTAAAGCTAAAACAATAAAAGTGTTAAATGTGTTTTGAATATTGGTAAAAAATGTTGACTTTGATAGTGGTGTTTATATTATCAATAACAGGTGAACCAAACAACGCGTCATATTATGTGGAAAGTTGAATATTGGTGTAAAAAGACAATTTGCTGTAAACGACAATATAAATGCCTCTCGATGCGCATTGTATCGGGGCTATGTCTGCTATGTAAAATATACATTAGCCCAAAGTTGTGTAAAACTGATTAATTTTAATTGACTATTTTGAAATGATTAGTTTTAATGAGTTAACTATAATCAGAGTATTCAATATTTTCGTCTTGTAGGCGATATCACTTCAAGAGAAGCAGCCGTTAAATAAAGCTTTTTAACACACACACAGAACTATCGTTATTCCCTATAACGGAGTTAAAATATTAAGCTAGTATCCATGTAGTACGCCGAGACACATGACATCCAGTGTGTGTTTAAATGAGATTAGAGCAAAAATAGTTTCTTAAACTGCAGTCTTAAAACGATGCCAGAAAAACTGCACTGTGGCATTTGTTTTGCTGTTCTTTCGTTACATGTATTGATGTTGTATATCACATATGAAATACTAGTCAATGTAAATATTGTGGGGATTAACACCTGTCTATTCGTATATAACATAGACTTTATAATATCAATAATACCATTATTATACTGATTTCATCGATGCTTTTCATCCGTGATACAAATACATTTCTAGATATGGAGCAGATATAAATACACGTATGTCTGTTTTCACTCTCACGCCTCCATTTTCAGCATTTGCATTTTACTTAATGATGAAGAAACAAATAAACCAGCCCTGTTGGGGGTTTTTTGGACACATAACAAACATGTTAATAGTTGTAGGCGAGTTGTTAAAAATGTATAAATATTGTAATAACCCCATTGTCTCCAAATAAGCGAATACTATATACCATAACAATGTCAAATAAATGCCTTTGTTCGCACTACCCAATTTGATGTATTTGATTTAAACATCAGTGAGGTTGCAAATTTTGTAGAAATAAACCACTTACTTTCTTACGTATACCACTTTAAGTGGTATAATTTGAATTCTAAAGACAATGATATATAAATATATACGTATACACTTACCATCTTTGTTCATGCCCAATGTAATACATTTCTTCAGGCGACAGGCTTGACACTGATTTCTGTGTGCTTTATCAACATTACACATCCCTGTTCCAGCTTGACATCTAAATTAGAACAATAATAGCCTTATGAATTCTGATGTTTCTTAATAAATATATATGACTGCTTATATTTATATCTAAATCTCTCACTGTATAAAATAGGTATATTTGGAAATAAAATACTTATATTTCTAAATAACTGACAGCATAAATGACTTATATTTCTAAATATCTGACAGCATAAATGACTTATATTTCTAAATCTCTGACCGCATAAATGACTTATATTTCTAAATCTCTGACCGCATAAATGACTTATATTTCTAAATCTCTGACCGCATAAAAAACTTATATTTCTAAATCTCTGACCGCATAAATTACTTATATTTCTAAATCTCTGACCGCATAAATTACTTATATTTCTAAATCTGTAACCGTATAAATATCTGACCGCATGAATAAACATACGATTACTTCTATTTCTAAATAAATAAACATACATGTAATATCTATGCTGAATTATATAGTTTCATTATTGATTTTCATTTTATTTTTGGTACGTGTATGTGGCTTGGGGAAAATATTCATTTGTATTCTACCAAAGTGGTTTGCTTTTCTATATTATAAGCTTTATGATCTATAACACTAGACCACTAAGGGACACGTGCCCAATTACTTGACAATGTCAGAAGTTACAAAAGGTAATTTGATCAATATCCCGCTAAAAGAATTCTAAAACATTCGTATCCCTCTAAAATACTTCTTAAATATGGATAATCTTAAGGGGACAGTCCCGGGTGTATATTAGAGAATAAAACTAGTTAATTCTGTATGAAAGACTATCTTAATCGGTGATAAGATATGAAGCTATGTGGGGGTATTTACACTCTATTGTTATTTATACTTTTATTAATTATCAATGTATATTATTTATATTTGTATACATGCTTTGACAACAGCAAACTTTTTGCTCCGCCTGTAATAAAGTTCAGTTCAGTTTATGTTATATATAATTTTACAAAATGAATAAACTGTTTATTTCCAGGAGGGTTCAAAATTCCAAGTGTCTGGATAACTTACGTAAGTTTTAATGGCGAATGTTTGCGCGATTACAAAGTCACTGCAATACATAATTCCATTAAGCGAATCAAGAAAATAAATTTTGACTTGAAACTTCCAGACAAGCTAATTGGACTATTTCTATATATTTGACATTTGAGTTCCATACCTCGGTTCTTATTATAAATGAAATCTCCATGAAATCTGGGACCTTTCCGTTAAATTTTGATGACACACACAGATTAAATTAGTGTGTGGTCTTTCTCGATCTCAGCCCACTCTCCTGTCGTCTTTATTCTTCAAAAATTGAAGAGCTCTTTTAATCCCCCCGATCGCCATTGTTCGCCATTTTGAAAAGCGTGTTTACTAAACAGCGTAGATAATACTACTATTGTGTTTATGCTTTGCTCTAACTCTTCAACATTTATTGCCACTTTTTTACGAATTGTAAACACACAAGATTAACCACGAAAAAGCAAATATTAAAAAATAGACTTCATTGACGAAAGAAATTGAAACTGTTTGACTGAACTAATACAACTTCGTCAAGGTTTTCATGTTCTGAGAAAATTTATTCATAGTGTACAACGTTCAAACACGGATAGTGTATGTATAGCATTATAGAAAAAAACATCGGAGATAACTCATTTCAATCGAAAAACATCTCAATGATTTCTAAATTATTTTATCTTAAACTCACTTAAAATCAAAACTCTTCGAAACTCTGAGAATATTAAAATGTCATAAAAGCCCATAAGGTTCAAATCCATCACCGATGATTATAAGAAGATTTTGCTAAATGACAACAAGAAAATGAAGAACTTGTTTAAACCAAATTTCTTTTTTTATATCTATAATTCAAACTCCGCCATTATCAACAGAAATGTGTAATTAAACACAAGCCTATTCTTTTTATACCACAAATATATCTTATTAAATCGTTTCTTTAAAAAGAAAATGATGGAATATCGATTTACGAAAATAAAGTCAGTCGGCATTTTAGTGTTCCACACGGTAATGAAAAGATGTTACCGGATATAAATGCAAAAATCGAGCAACGCATAACACTTTAGGTTACAGTTCGAAACCCCAAATATCGACAGAAGTTCTCCACTAAAGGTTAGCAAATTTAAGAAAACAAATTTTCGAATTGTTTTTTAAAACAATAATTTGTTGAATTGTTTTAAAAACAGAACTTTTTGTGTTTATGGTATTTGTTAGTTGCTCAGTCTACAGTCATTCAGAATAAAATTTGTATATTTTTACCTGTAAATAAGCTTTCGTCTTACACTTCTTTTGAAGAATCCGCTGCATCCATTACAAGCCAAAATACCATAATGTTTACCACTGGATGTATCACCACATACTAAACAACTTAAACCAGGCATTCCCTTTCGGATAGGTCCAGTAGACGGTGATAAACTACGATATGATTCTGGTGATCCTATCCCCACATCTGTACCCAGTAGTGGAGGAGAGGGGGATTTACTAATAGAAATCGTCATCACGTGTGGGGAAGGTCTTGGTGACAGATCTTGGGGTTCTGAAAAAAGAAAAAAAAATAATGTTTTAATAAAATCTTTGTTTAAATCTGCATGTAAAATTTAGCATATCACATTGTATGCCATGAAACTCAACTTCATTTCACTCCACAACTTTAACTACCTGACTACTACTTGCGTTAAAATGTGTGAATTTACGTTATAGAATTCGAGGATCGCTTTGTAGTAAGATAATATAAAAACTGCTGTTTGTGGAAGAATTGTTTTAAAAACTTTCATCCATGCGAGTCTTTTATGTCACTGTTATCGCGTCCCTACCTATTGTTATTGCCTCAATATGTTAGGTTAGATTACTCTCAAGTAAAAGAATTATGTCAATGATTCACCTAAAACTTATAACTAACATAATATAGATATCTTAAATAAATAACTATGTAATTGACGCGACTTAACCTCAACAACAGTCATAGTATCGATACCATCTTTAACTTTTACTAAAGAAAACCCAATCAGAAAACCATAGGACAAACACAAGGACGAAAATAAGACAAACAGCAAGTAGGATAAGTGATCTATGGATAATGAATATAAGGACAGAACATGTTATTAAAAGACACATCAAATACTGGTCAATAAATTAAAAAACTTAAAAACGGGAAAATATTAACGAACTATCAAATCAAAGACCCGCCGTAATCATTTAGTATGATACATACTTGCAATTAGCATCAGTCTTATAATTATCAAGAAAGCTATAAATAAAGTGTCAAACAACATATTATTTTTTTTTAGTGCCAATGTATGTTCATGTGCAAACCAAAAAGGAAATAAGGTAATCGAATTCAGTTTGAATTATTCTTGTTAGAATTATTATCAGTAGTTAACTAAAATAGGTTTAATAAAGGAAAGCATTTTACTTGTGATGCTCTAAATAAAATACCAAATTAGAAAAATACTCGTAAGATGGTCGATTATTCAATTTCCACGAAGAAGTAACTTAGAAACGGACCCATTCTTAATAAATTTTTGGATATTTTTCTTATATTAAAATGCAATCTGAAAATACTAAAGACTACTGTAAATATTAATTCAATATTAATAGATCTGGGGTTTGAATGAATGAACGAAATAGGGTTTAAAGTCCTACTTTTCTGCACCAACCGGGATAATGAAGATCGACAAAGGGGTATGTCATTTTATACCGTATAAATCTTTTGATGTACTTTTTGACAGTTGGAAAATTAATTTCCGCAATAAAACATTCAGCAAAATATTTTTAATATTCATGGCATTTAATTACCAATCTACAACAGAATTAAAAACTAACACGAATCGCCATTGTAATGTTTTGTTGTTTTGCATGTGATCAGAATATGGAAGACATTTTCTTTCCTTAATAACCTTTCGTAATTAAACGACAACCTCTGCTCTTACACCTGCACTTTCACGTTTGCTGATGGAAAAATTAAATATTTATCACAAATCTTTGTCGCCGTTTAGATCTCTTAAACACAACCAAAAGGGATTTGTAAAAAGCGGAATGCAAATGCCAATGAAACGAAAGGAAAGGTTAACCGTATGTTGTCATGTGCTACGGTGGTTTTGGCGTTTTAATTTTGATAAAAGGAAAACATCATTTCCGCTGAACAAAATCATTGGTTAATCATATTGATCTCGTGAGCTCGTGAGCTTGTGGAAATCGCTCCATTGATCTTTTGAGATGTCGGAAGACAAAGAGAACTATATAAAAACATGAAATGTCAGGTAAATCTCAGGAGACGAAAAAGAAGAATAAAATAAATCACCCTGTTGGATTTTGAGCTTCGTTTCGTCTACCTAACACAAGACGTAAAATTAAAGAAATTAATTCGGGGTATTTATATCGATGTTTTTTTCATGAGTGAATCTAAATTGTGTTTTTACAAATTGCGTGTCTGGGTAGATTAATAATAGATTAATGGTACGATAAGAGACAATTATAAGACGGGAGAATCAGCTTGATCTGTGGTCTGAATACCAAATATCCTTTTACCAAAATAAAAATAAAAATCAATCTTCTCAGATTTTTTTTTCAATAAATGATTTAGCAGTATAAAATATACAATGAAGAATTAATATTTTTTTTATAAACGGCGTCAACACGCTATGGATAGGAAATTAACAGAATTGATCATTGTTATCAGACATTCTTCATTTGATATAACTTTTAATAGTCTTACGCGTGTGTGAAATTTAATTTTAGTTAATTAAAACCATAAATAATTAGTTTTATCACAATATACAATTTGTATAATATATATTGACAAAATCTAAAAGATAAATTTTATTTTAAATATTCACATCTAAAAATTCAAATATACAGATACATGTATGCAATTTAAAGTGGAGTTAAAGTTTTACCAAGAAAATATATGTAATTTATTTTTAATATGTGATAAATAAAATAACCTAGACCCGCTCACATAACGAACATCTAAGTACGGAATAAGATATGTTGTTTGATTCTTCGCTGAACTCCGGGAAAACCACTAAAATATTTGCACCACTCTTTTAAAACAGTTCAAGCGTCTATCATATCTATTGTCTGTAACGGATTGACCGATGTGTCTCAGATTTACATACAGACTTGTTGAACAGGCGATACGTTTCAAGTCAGTAGCTTGAAGCGTATATATGGTATTAGTGTCAGTGGCCTGTGGCACGAAGTAACAGTATATTGTCGCATACATAATATATTATGTCAACGCTTTGGCGATATAATATATTATGTCAACGCTTGGAACTAGGATGGAGGTGACTAGGCATGAACTTGCAACGATAGATTTAATTGGCGCTTTGATAACCAATGAATGCTTTGGAGACATATTTTGGCGGTATTTTCCATCATGGAATCGGTAAGTTTCGATTGTTTTTTTCTTTTCTGTTTTTTCTCTCTTTTCTGTGTCCTAACCCTAACCCTAACCCTAATCCGAAAGAAAAGTGCCCTTTTTTTAAATTCTGACATCACAGGTGCCCTTTTTCTGATAAGGATGCCCTCTTTTATTTACAGGGACACTTTCTATTGTTAAGGGGGTGGACCGGTCCCCATGGTCCAACCCCTGGATCCGCTCTGATGACGCGTACATTCCACTGAGTCTACAGGTCTAATATGCTAACACGCTTGGAGCGTCAACACAATATATTATGTCGCCCAAGCGTTGACATAATATATTATGTATGCGACAATATACTGTTACTTCGTGCCACAAGCCACTGACACTAATACCATATATACGCTTCAAGCTACTGACTTGAAACGTGCAGGGTGCATGTTGAAGGGCTTCATTCTAAGTCAAATCAAATTAGGTGTTTTTTTTTCCGACTGGTGAATATCTCCAAAGAGATGATTATATAATATTTATCGTTAAATTGTTTTATCTTATATTTTACAAATATTTAAAGTATTCCGGCTTATTTAAGAAAATGGTTATGGCCGAATTCATTTTCGAGAACTTCTTCACTGAAACAAATGCAAAACTTAAATTTGAATTTGATATCTTCTTCCAAATTTGAAATTACACTTTAATGCAAAATTTAGTCAAATTAACAAGATATTTAAACAACTGCATCTAATGAAGATAACAGACAGTACTTGATTAATTCGAAACAATAAAACTACTACTAAAGACTTGACAATCAAGAATTAATCGCAGTTGATTGATCTGGCACGTGGTCGTACTTGATTAATTATATCGACGAGAGTTTAGCGCACCTCAAAACGACCAAATCACACAAAGACAAAATGGAGCTCGCATTCCGTGACCTTTGCGAGGAAATTAAAAATTGATTGGTTTATGAAAACAATTATGATTTATTTATTAAGGTGAGGTTTTTACCTAATGTCTTAAGGTAAACGGCGATGTGATTTTCAATGATACTAAAAGGTGCGTTAGGATGGTTAGTATCTATCAGAACAAATGTTCATGTTTTAATCAAATTAATTATTAATCTCAACTAATCGGTGACGTTATGCCATTCTTTTAGATTGGAAAAAGATAACATAAAGAATGACTTCTGACCTTTTCAGATGATGAAATTAATTTCTCTCCTGAATAACTGATAATATTAAACAAGATAAATAGAATATCAAAGTTTTCTCTCATTTGAAAGGTTACCTGTTAAGAGGACTGAGTTCACAAAGACAAAAATATATTAGAAAACGTTGCATAAAAACTGAAAATTGTATTTTACTTGTTCATATGCTTCTGATTCTTTTCTACCATAAGTGTGGAGCTTTCACGGTTTTGTCCCAGTAAATAATTAATGCACTTCTAAAATGTCAGAAGACTTTGAATCAAAACTGTATTGTACCAAAGAGCGCGGAAGCCGAATATGGAAATACAGGTAATTCTGAAAAAAGATTAAATATCCCAGGCACCGCTGCTCTGGCAATAATCTTTCTTTTGGTGCAAAACAAAGTACGCAATTTAAGTCGCTCAATTAACTTTTGTTAGATATCAGAATCAATCAAATTTAAATTTAAACAAAAATAATTCTTTTGATTACTTTTTATTTTTAACTTATCATTTTGAGTTACCATAAATATTAATGATAATGTATTTGATATTTTTAATATCATATGTTATTGATATACCGTTATTATTATTTGTAAATCACCTTAAACATAGAAATTGTATTTACTTTCATCATTAATTTGCATATAACATCTTGGATAGGCATTTAGTAATTGAGCATATCCTCGTCTAAACGTCGCTTAGTTATACCTTATGTTAATTTGCAAATACAATAATAAATTATGTATGAATACATCACTATAGGTCGTCTAATCTACTTAAATATTATCAAACTGAATGAACTAGTTAATTTACATTAAGAAAAACAAGTGACAAAAATATAATCCTTTTTTGAGCGTTTGATCAGAATGTGAAATCTCTGTTGATTACTATTCTTACTACAAAATTCATAGTACCGAGCAACGCTGGGTCCAAGTATTACCACCTTTTTGGTTTGGTCAAAATTAAAGTTGTCATGTTGATTTGTT